TGGGCAGATGATTTACAGTTGTACCTTAGCCTTCACTTCCTGCTATTGCAGAGCCTGTGTCTGCCAAAGATGAGCTTCTGGGGCCTTCTTGGGTCTTTCCTGGACATACTTAGAACCTGCACATTCACATGAAATTTTGGATTCCCAGGTGTATGTCAAGGCTTTTCAAAGCCCCTGTGAATATCTCATTTCCCAGTTTTTCCATTTAAGTTTTTAGTCAGCCTCTTGTTAGTCCCAACTAGTATCATTGCCTAGGCAGCTGCAGTGCTAAACAATTGCCACTGGTTGTTTCTGGTAAATGTCCTAAGGATAAAACTGTTCTCACGGAGTGTTCTCTGAGTTAAGTTAAATAAGGATATGGAGCTCTTCCAAGGAACTGCCAGACAGGGACAGTTCTCTGGGGATGGGGCTTTTGGAGGATTGTAATCCTTTTCTGCCCCCTACAAGGTTGCTAGGCTACTGGTTTTCAAAGCTACTGGCTTATGAGGCTGTTGGTTTTCAAGCTACCATGAACTTGAGAGAAAGGGATGAGTGTAAAGCAAGTTAAAATATTACAAAACTTGTTCTGTTTACTGAGATTCAGCTGTTTTTCTCGAATAAGCACTCCTCAAATTGTTAGAAGTTAATATGTAGCATCCTGAAAAAGTTGATTTTGACAATTTTTGCTAGTGCTCTCATTGCTTTTCTGGAGGAGCAGGTTGTCAGTTTCTTACTTTACCATTCTGTAATAAAAGTGCTTCCTCCCATATTTAGTTTTGATTCTGTGACTGAATGATTTCACTGCATGCCTCTGATCCTTGTATTTTGGTTTATCACTTGTTCAGTTGAAATATATCTTCAGGTTACTTCATTTGAAGATTTGTGTATCAGTTGTATTTTGAATTCCTTTTATATTTGAGAAGGCTTCTTAGTTGTCTGCGCCAGTAACCTCAATATGTTCTATTCATATATGCCATCAGTAAAAAATTTTGAAAACATATTCCCATATATATTTAAATATAACATGTGGTAATATATATGTAAGTAAAAGTAGAATCTCTGCTCTGAAGTTAGGGTAAGAAGCAGAGGTTTGATAGCTACAAAGCTAGCGTCATCTGAATAGTGATTACCAGAAATTATTTTCTGCCAGAATATTGACCAGTATTTCTGATGCTGTTTAAATTCTGAATATCTTTTTATGCTTTGGTAAACCAGAAAGTATCTGAGACAGGTCTCAATCAATTTAGAAGTTTAGTTACCAGGGTTCTCCAAAGATGATTTTGAGGATTTCAGTATTTAAAGGAGAATGGGCAGATATTGGGGAAAGAGGTAGAAATTTTAAAAGGTATGGGTAGATAAAAGACAAAAGGTATGGGTAAATAAGAAACGGTTGCATTCTTTTGAGTCTTTGGTCAGCTATTCACATGTGGGAGGGGGACAGAGGAATAGTCACAGATTCATCTAGCTTAGTGAATCTGCATTTCTGCGTAAGATAAAAAAAAACATAGTGCACAGGAAGCCATCAGATATGCATTTGTCTCAGGTGAGCAGAGGGATGACTTTGAGTTCTGTCCTTTGTCCTGTATGTGTAAAGATAAAGCAATTAATTTACATTGCTGGGGTAAAATTCAATAGAACTGTAACTGGGTAAAGATCTTGGGGTCCACAAGGAATTTCTGAGTGGGGGAATTGTGAGGGAGGTATATAGCTTTTTTGGTCATTGTAGCTATCTTATTTGGGAACAAAATGGGAGGCAGGTTTCCGAGACACATTTCCCAGCTTGTCTTTTCCCTTTGGCTTAGCGAGTTGGGGGCCCTGAGATTTACTTTCATTTCACATTTTACTAAGTAAAAGAGAAAGACAGGCAAATTGGGCACAAATTTAGCCTATATATGCCTCCTTACATAATAATATTTTAAGTTTGGCCTAAAGATTTCCCCTTACAAAGTAAACTGCAGCCTAACTAGATGTGTAAATAGACTATTCTTACACCAATCACAGATTTTCAGCAAGTCACAGGAAGTCAGCTGTTCAAACTGTGTTTAAATAAAGCAAACACCAAGCTCTAACCAATCCTGCTGTTTCTGTACATCATTCTCTGTTTTCTGTATGTCACTTTCCTTTTTCTGTCCATAAATATTATCAGACCATATGCCAGGGTATCTCTGAACCTATTCTGGTTCTGGGAGCTGCCCAATTTCAGACCCGTTCTTTGCTCAATTAAACTGTTAAATTTAATTTATCTAGAGTTTTTCTTTTAATAGGCATCACTGATTTTCTCTCTTTATACTCTAGGTATTTTATAATACAGGTTTTAAAACCTCCTTTGTAATTCAGAAATGTTGCTTTATTAATTTTCCTACTTTTTAAAAATACTCCAGTGTCTTAAAATTTTAAGAAAAAAATTACTCGTTCAGCTTTGGCGGCTATTTCTAAAACATATCCAAAATATATGAACTACCTTTGATTAGACCCACTAAGGAGATTTTTTTCCTTAGCTAGTGTTAAAAAATTATTCATGACACTTATTAAAGGTAGCAAGGATTACTTTATTGGGAGACTAGGTATAAGAAACACTGCAATGGGGTTTTGCAGTGGTAGGGAGAATGAGTGGGGAGTCAGTAGAAGGAAAGTTTTTAAGAGGAAACCTTAGGGTTATGAGGGAATCTCACTAGAAGGACACAACAAAACTCTTGCTGAAGAGAGGCCGGGGTGAAAAGATACTGGGTTGGGAGTGAGAACAGATAAAAAGGGTGTGGGACATTTTCGCTAACCTGACTAAGCAGGATTCTTGCTCAAATTGGGTTCTACAAAGACAGAGGAAAAGCTGATGGCCTAGTTGAGCAGAGGACTTGGAAGAGCCTGACTCAAGTTTGGGTCAAAAGGAGAGGGTCTTTGTCACTAAATAGTAGTTTTAACTAAGATTACCACATTTTCCATATATAGACAGTTTTTTTGTTTGTTTGTTTGAGGTGGTATTTCGCTCTGTCACGCAAGCTGGAGTGCAGTGGCATGATCTCAGCTCACTACAACCTCCGCCTCCAAGATTCAAGCAATTCTCACGCTCCAGCCTCCCGAGTAGCTGGAACTACAGATGCGTGCCACCACAACTGGCTAATTTTTATTTTTATTTTTTGGTAGAGACGAAGTTTCACCATGTTGGCTAGGCTGGTCTCAAATGCCTGACCTCAACTGATCTGCCGACCTCAACTGATCTGCCCACCTCAGCCTCCCAAAGTGGTGAGATTACAGGCATGAGCCACCACACCTGGCCTGTAAACAGTTTTCAGACAATTTGTAGACAGTAAGACCACTGTTAACCAATTCAATACTGAACATAATTAGTTTTCTTTGATTACTTGAAAGTACTTGTTTTTTAGTGATATTAAACATTATTAAGTCTTGTGAAAATGTGAAATTAGAGCTTTCTGGGATTTGTATTCTGGGAGTTTCCAGTAACAATTAATGTTTAACAAAATTCAAAATTATGTATGAGGCCTAGAATTAAGACTAACTTGGGGTTGGGTATGGTAATCTCAGCACTTTCAGAGGCCAAGGTGGGTGGATTGCTTGAGGTGAGGTGTTTGAGACCAGCCTGACCAACATGGTGAAACCCCATCTCTACTAAAAATACAAAAATTACCCAGGTGTGGTGGTGCGCACTTATAATCCCAGCTACTTAGGAGGCAAAGATTGCTGTGAGCTGAGATTTTGCACTCCAACTTGTGTGACAAAAGGGATAGTTTTGAAAATAAATAAAACTTCAGAAAGAATCAGAAGGTAGGAAAAACTGCTTATGTAGTTAAATTGTGATTGGTGAGTATATTAGTCATTTTATTGCCTTTTTGAATATGTGTGGCAACCCTGTTTATATTAATTGGGCGTAAGTGAAAGTGTTAATATGTTTAAGGTTTGAACATGTAGAAGCTATTGGTGCCTTACTAAAGTCCTTCACAGGCCCCTTAGCAATAAATGCCTGTGACTTGAAGCTCTTTAATGTATAGTTGCAGATTTTAAGACTCCAAGTTGACTGGTAAATTATCTGATTTATCTAATTCAAATATTTTAGCTGTTGTTGGATGCGGTGGCTCATACTTGTAATCCCAGCACTTTGGGAGACCAAGGCAGGTGGATCACTTGAGGCCAGGAGTTCGAGACCACCCTTGCCAGCACGATGAAACCCTATCTCTACTAAAAATACAAAAGTTAGCCGGGCATGGTGGTGCACACCTATAGTCCCAGCTACTCAAGAGGCGGAGGCAGGAGAATCACTGGAACCCAGGAAGCAGAGGTTGCAGTAATGGCACTCCAATGAGACTCTGTCTTTAAAAAAAAAAAGAGCTATTGATGTTTTGCTTATTGTAAGCAGCAGTGTTTTTGCATTAAGCCATTTTAAAATAGCGATTTTTTTTTTTTTTGCTCTATCAGAATATAGTAGCATAGTAATTTTTATTCTAATTTAACTCATAGTAAAGTTTACTCTTATTTGGAATTCTCCTTTTGGTTAAATAATTTATACCAGACTTTCTGAAAATGTTTGAGGAGGATTATATTGGTTATTATTTTACTGGGTATCTGAGAATTTCAAAATACTTTACACATTTACTTTATATTCCCATAGCAGTTTAGATAGGGTGTGTTACCAAGATGGAAACTGGTTCTGCAGGACTGGTTACTTAGGATGGCCACACAATGAATCATTAATAAATAGATTTTTGAATAAAGCTTGAAAGTAGTTTCTTGATAATCAGCACGATGCAAGAGAAAAAAAAGTAATTTCTGTTGCTTTGTGCTATTACATTTTCAGAAATGTTGACACTGAACATATTTTATTTTTAAAAATTATGTAGAATGTAGAGAATACCAAGAATAATGCTCAGATGTTAGTTTTATCTGTTTTTTAAACTAACTATTCTGAGCAGAATTATCAACCTTGCCAGTACATCATGTGTGTTTTCACTTATATGCAGCCTTCTGTTGGAACGACTAAATTTTTTAAAATGTTTTTTGTTCTCCCCTAGGTGTTGGATCCTGAACAAAACCATAACTTCACTGATCATTATCTAAATGTGGCCTTTGACCTTTCTCAAGTTCTTTTTATAGCTACCGCCAACACCACTGCCACCATTCCAGCTGCCTTGTTGGACAGAATGGAGATCATTCAGGTTCCAGGTACTTGAATCTTCGGTGAAATCATTATTTGATACATCTTGCCTTTCTGACCATAACCCTTTAAAATTAGTCATGCTGTGGAGCGTTGACTAAAGAAGTTCATTTGCCAACATACAATCTTCAGAAGTTCTGAGGAATGTATATAAATCGGCTTCTATGTAGCTTCAGAATCTGGAAGAGCAAAATAACAAACGTTGACAACAACAATTTCACATTTAATTTAGCATTAAAGAATGATGATTTTATGATAAATAAGACATTCTTCTTTAAAGTAATTTCTAAAATTACAGGCCGGGTGTGGTGGCTCACGCCTGTAATCCCCAAGGCGGGCAGATCAGTTGAGGTCAGGAGTTTGAGACCAGCCTGGCCAACATGGGGAAACCCCATCTCTATTAAAAATACAAAAATTAGCCAGTCATGGTGGTATGTACCTGTAGTCCCAGCTACTCAGGAGGCTGAAGCAGGAGAATCCCTTGAACCTGGGAGGCAGAGGTTGCAGTGAGCTGAGATCACATCACTGCTCTCCAGCCTGGGTGACGGAGTAAAACCAAAAAAAAAAAAAAAGAATAACTGAACTTTCTCATAAAATCTGGCCTAACTTTTATATTAAAATGTGTAACTTTTAAATTCCTCTTGAATCTATCAAATAGCTACATTTTTTTAATGTCTTCTTCAGTTACTGGAATGTGTGAAATGTGTTCCTTCAGTTACTAACACTAGATAAACTACAGCATTTTCACCTTATTTTAATTGCACAGAATTGTTTTTCCCTGGAAGAGATCAAATATCAATGGGGTCTTTTTTTTTAATGTAGAGTAAAATCTAAATGTCTTTATTTATTTATTTAGAGACAGAGTCTAGCTCTGTTGCCCAGGGTGGAGTACAGTGGTACGATCTTGGCTGACTGCAACTTTTGCCTCCCAGGTTCAAGGAATTCTCGTGTGTCAGCCTCCCAAGTAGCTGAGATTACAGGCGCTTGTGACCACGCCCAGCTAATTTTTGTACTTTTAGTAGAAACAGGGTTTCACCATTTCATCATTGGCCAGGCTGGTCTTGAACTCCTGACCTCAAGTGATCTGCCTGCCTTGGCCTCCAAAAGTGCTGGGATTACAAATGTGTGCCATGGTATCCAGCCTAAATACCTTTTCTTATTTGCACGTGTCCAGCCTAAATTTTTTATTTTTTTGAGATGGAGTCTCACTCTGTCACCCAGGCTGGAGTGTAGTAATGCAGTCTTAGCTCACTGCAACCTCTGTGCCTTCTGGGTTCAACCGATTCTCGTGCCTTAGCCTCTGAGTAGCTGGGACTACTTGGTGCACACTGTCACGCCTGGCTAATTTTTACATTTTTAGTAGAGATGGGGTTTCGCCACGTTGGCCAGGCTGGTCTCAAACTCCTGACCTTAGGTGATTCACCTGCCTTGGCCTCCCAAAGTGCTAGGATTACAGGCATGAGCCACCACACCCAGCCCTAAATTTCTTTAAGATTCTAAATGTAATCTAAATGTGTTTTTCATGTTAATCTGAAATATATTTTTACAACTAAGTGAATTATAATTGGATTTCTTAATTATCTGCAAGCATTACAGGTTCCTATATTTAGTTTTGAAATATGATAGAGTAAAATGATTATTGTATATACTTAAAGTCTAAAGTAAATAAGTAATGAGACTCAATTCCCTGGAAACTCCAAGTTATGGCAGAAAATCCATTAGATATACTAAAGTAAAGTGAAAGAATCAGGACAGCTGCTGCGGAGGAGAACATATAATGCCACCTTCTTCCGCTGGCAGATTTAGCTGTCCTATCTTCTAGCTTTCTTGGTGTTTACTAACCTCCTCTTTCCATTCAAAAGGTGCCTTATCAATTCATATTTTTAATTTTTGCTTGTTAAATGGAAAGGGATATTAGATGGAATTGTGTCTTATAGGATTTAAAGACAAAGAAAATCTGTACTTATTTAGGCTATTATATAAGAACATAAAGTCTTTTAAATATACTCTATATATATAAATACATATATACACACATATACAAATACATATACACACATACATATACCATAATGTGGAGGAAAAAACCTTTTATAGGGACATCTTAGGGTTTTCTCTTTTTGCTACAATTTATTTTATAGTCATAGTTCTGGAAACAGTATCTTTAGAGCCCTTCCCTTGGAATCCACTACTTATTTAATTTTGTGTGTGTGTGTGTGTGTGTGTTCGTTCATGTGTGCGTGTGTGTTTCAAGTATAGATCAAATTATGCTAAAAAGATGCATTTATTTTTCTATTTGAAATCTCAGAGGGTTTGAGGACAAAGATAATTGTCTCTTAAGGTTTGAGGTTTTTTCTTCTTCTTTGGGAGATACATCATTTAATCAGAAGACTTTCAAACACTGTGCTTAGTAAATGCTTGTTTTGTTTGAAAAAGTTGGAAATGTTAACAATTATTGATTTAGATTAAATTTCTTTTTCTTCCTTTTTTTTTTTTTTTT